CAAATTCGTGAAGCGTTCCATATTTAAAAAAAAAATTATTTACTGTTTATGTAAACTTCAGATGTAACTGGGTGTGCTGTATTTTACTTGCCCAGTAACAAGCCCACCTCCACTGTTCTCAGGCGTGTGAGGGCCACGAGGGCTGCATTATCTACTCTAAATATTTCCTTAGCTCCCATCGTCTCTGGGACAAGCCTCAGACCGGGCTGAAGTCCCCCAGGATGTGCTGCCTTCTCCTCTCTCAGCGCCTCTTCATGCCCAACCTGTGCACCAACCAGGCCCACTGGACTCTGTGCCTCCCGGGTGCTGGCTTACTTACCTCTGGAAGGTGAACACGCTCATCTCCAGATCTGCATCTGACAGCACTTACCCATTCCTGAGCTATGTTGACCTACCCTCCATAAACTGCTCGGAGCCCCCAGGGGAGGGACCCCAGCTTGGGCCTGCATTCCTGCTGCACCTGCCAGTTTTGCCTGTGACTCTAAGCGTGCACATCTTCATTCGCATTGTGGCCACCTGGGGAAACGTGAAGGTGCATCCAGTCTTAGGCTGCCACTGGCCTGGGACAGTTCCTTCCTGGCCCTTGGATTGCGGCTGTGTGGACTGCCATTAGGACTGGATGAACGTCAAGTGGTGAGGCTCAAGAAGAGGCAGAGGGTGTGATGGCCAAGCCCATGGAGTCTCAGGTCCTCAGTACATCACATACTCCCTGCATAACGGTGGGCAAGTCCCTTAGGAGCATCTCTGGCCTCAGTGTTCTCATCCGTAATTGGAAATGTTAGGGGCCCCTATCTCTTAAGGTTGTAGTGATGATTAAATGAGCTTGTGTGTGTAAAACAACCACCATACTGCCTGGCAAGCCATAAATGGTGACTTTCAGGTTTATATCACTTCCCATTTTTCTCACTCTGATCACACCGTATTTTATTTGACTGTTAACTTTCCGTCCCTCACTTAGTTGCAAAGATCTTGGCAGATAGAGATGTCCACTCACCTTTGTCCCTGGGGCCTGGGGGACAGAACACGTAGAAAGTGCTCAGTAAATATTTATCCTAGCCACTGAGGTGGCTGCTGAAGTGTGCTTGGGGGAAGTTAACTCTGCCCTGCAGATTACAGAACAGCTTTTCAGAGAAAGTGGCATTTAAGCGGCATCTTGAGGGATGAAAGAAGCTTTCCAGGCAGAAATGGGTGATCAGAAGACCAGGAGGAGGACATTCGGGTCGTGAGCAAAGCTCCCTGGGCACGGCCACCCATGTGGGGTCTCGGGAGGTGGGTAGGAAGCCCCGGGAGTGGCCGTTGGAGACCTCGGGTGTCCACGTGCAGAAGTGGCCATGGATGTCCTGCAGGCATGAGCCAGGCCCTGAGGGATCCAAGGCGTGTCGGGGAAGTCAGCCGGGCCAGATGAGGAGGTGGGGTGGAGGGAGGCCAGCATGGAAATGGGAAGAGCTACGGGGCTGCAGCCCAAGAGGAGAATCCGACTCGCCAGGCCAGGGAAAGGAGCCCGTGCTGGACTGTAGGATGCACCCCCGGGAGGGAGCCTGCCCCACAGAACGGCGCCCCCTGCAGGGAAGTGGACGACCGGACAGCAAGAGCAGTGTGGGCATGGATTTTAAAAGGGACTGAGGGAGGGACGCTGAGCCTGGGACCTGGCCTGTGACCTCCGTGGGTCTCTGGGTCACCAACTTTGTCCACCAGTGCAGTTTCCAGTAAGATTCATAAGGCCTCACTCCCAGACCTTTCTTAGCTCCTGACCTATTAGTTGTGCTTCAGGGACTGGAAGGAGAGTCACAAGAGCAAGAGGGGTGATTCTTGGGGGAAAACAGAGAGATGAGATAAGCTTCGGAGGAGACTTAATGTCTCTGCCTCCTCCTACATCCACAGTGTGCACAGCATGTATCACCTGAGAAGGGGCCCAGGCCTCGGGTGGAGGAGGGGTCCCTGGCTGCTGCGTGTGGACCCTGTGTCCCCCTCGTTCTGGGTCCTGTTACAGCTCCGGATCTCCTTTACCCCAGCAGCAGCCTCTGAGCCGATTGCTCTCAGCGCATCTCAGAGATGAGAAGGCAAGGGCTCTGAAAGGCCGTGGGACTCCTAAGGGGCAGAGACAGGATTCAAACTCAGGCCAATTGCTGCACTAACCCCGTAGGCAAGGGCTGCTCTGATGCCCCTCTGTCCAGGCCCTCAGAAGCTATAGGTTTTGCTCAAAGCCGCCCCTGGACACTCTTCACCTCAGGTAATCAGAGACCCAACAGGCCTTCAAGGCCCTAGGCTCCTTCGCCATTTATAGTCCCCTCTACAAAGAAATCCACACGGACATGGCCAAGGTCATAGGACGGTCGCCATGGAGTCTGAGCACATTCCTGACTGATGAACAAGATCTGGCCCATAGCCGATCCCACTCCTGGGTGCAGGTAGGTGCTCGGAAAGGCAGGCTGCCTTTGGCTCCCTATAGCTTTTATTCTGGACGCTGGATTGCACCGTCCTGTCTCCATCGGTCGTCTCCCCTTTTGTCCTGAGATTCAGGCTTCCGGGGTGGACTTCCAGGACAGGTGACCAACTGTGCTCAGAAGCTGGAGGTTTTAAATAAGACAGGAGAAGAAATGGGCTCCATAAGGCAGCTGTTAGCCACCGTCACTGCAAGAACGTTTTCTTCTCTAATCCTAATGAAACCCAGTCTCAGTAAGAACCTTGGGATCCATAAATGTGGCTGCAGAGCAGATTCATAATAACGCCGAAGGACGTGCAAAGACAGGCGCTCCTTCTGTGCGTGTGGTCGTCATTCCAGAGAAAACCCCTGCAGGGAAGTGGACGGCCTGACAGTGAGAGCAGTGTGGGCATGGATTTTAAAAGGAACTGAGGGAGGGACGCTGAGCCTGGGCCCTGGCCTGTGACCTCCGTGGGTCTCTGGGTCACCAACTTTGTCCACCAGTGCAGTTTGCAGTAAGATTCATAAGGCCTCACTCCCAGACCTTTCTTAGCTCCTGACCTATTGTTTGTGGTTCAGGGGCTGCAAGGAGAGTCAAAAGAGCAAGAGGGGTGATGCTTGGGGAAAACAGAGAGATGAGATAGGCTTCAGAGGAGACTTAACGTCTCTGCCTCCTCCTACATCCACAGTGTGCACAGCATGAGTCACCTGAGAAGGGGCCCAGGCCTCGGGTGGAGGAGGGGTCCCCGGCTGCTGCATGTGGACCCTGTGTCCCCCTCGTTCTGGGTCCTGTTACAGCTCCGGATCTCCTTTACCCCAGCAGCAGCCTCTGAGCCGATTGCTCTCAGCGCATCTCAGAGATGAGAAGGCAAGGGCTCTGAAAGGCCGTGGGACTCCTAAGGGGCAGAGACAGGATTCAAGCTCAGGCCAATTGCTGCACTAACCCCGTAGGCAAGGGCTGCTTTGATGCCCCTCTGTCCAGGCTCTCAGAAGCTAGAGGTTTCGCTCAACACCGCCCCTGGACACTCTTCCCCTCAGGCAATCAGAGACCCAATAGGCCTTCAAGTCCCCTGGCTCCTTCGCCATTTATAGTCCCCTCTACAGAGAAATCCACACTGACATGGCCAAGGTCATAGGACGGTCGCCATGGAGTCTGAGCGCATTCCTGACTGGTGAACAAGATCTGGCCCATAGCCGATCCCACTCCTGGGTGCAGGTGGGTGCTCAGAAAGGCAGGCTGCCTTTGGCTCCCTATAGCTTTTATTCTGGATGCTGGATTGCACCGTCCTGTCTTCATTGGTCGTCTCCCCTTTTGTCCTGAGATTCAGGCTTCCGGGGTGGACTTCCAGGACAGGTGACCAACTGTGCTCAGAAGCTGGAGGTTTTAAATAAGACGGGAGAAGAAATGGGCTCCATAAGGCAGCTGTTAGCCACCGTCACTGCATTATTCATGCAAAAGCGATGAACGTTTTCTTCTCTAATCCTAATGAAACCCAGTCTCAGTAAGAACCTTGGGATCCATAAATGTGGCTGCAGAGCAGATTCATAATAACGCCGAAGGACGTGCAAAGACAGGCGCTCCTTCTGTGCGTGTGGTCGTCATTCCAGAGAAACAGGGCTTCAGTTGTCAGGGGAAAAGGAGAAACTGTTTAGAGATGAGCAGATGCAAATGTAAATAGTAACTCAAAGATAAATGGAAATGGCCGACCCGTGCAGCATAGAATGTTTCAGGGGGAAATCACAGCTCAGGTCCAGGAAGATCAGGTAAGAATATGATATTGCATGTAATTGTATTTTACTCTGATCCTCACTGAGAAAGCTTGACTTTATGTCTCCTTCCCTAGTCTTTGGTTTCCTCTGGCCAGCCTTAATTTCAGGTTATTTCTATGTGGACCTTGAAGTAAGTCCCCTTTTCAGTCATCCCACGAGCCTGACTGTAGTCCAGGTGTCTGGAGCTCCGCTGTTTACCTCCCTCTGCTCCCCAGGCCCCTCCAGGACCCCCTGGCTGGACACACATCACATCCTGCCTCTCGAGACTGCCTGCCTTCCTGACCTGGAGCCCAGTTTGCCAATCTGCTCCTACTCCCACTCCACACAAGCAGACAGGCGTGCGTGCATGTGCACACACCCACAATGTACCCAGAACACATACACAACACACGTACACACACAGCACCCACATCACACACACACACACACACACACATATCTTTCTTTGCTCCCCTAAGATGGTAACATGTCCTAATGTCTCATTTCTCCCTTTGCCTAGTTCTGCCCCTGAGACCTGGTATGACTCACCCTGGCTTGCGGATCAGCAGAAATTCTTCAGACCCACTGGGCTGACTCGTCATGCAACTGTGAACTGGGTCCTGTGTCCAGCTGGGGATGTGGGAAGCTGGCAGTCAGGCTCATTGCTCTGAGCAGTGGAGACATTAATCTAGAGTGATTTGAACAGTCTGAACAGAGACCCCCCCCTACTCAAATACAACTCACCTAATGCTTGTTGTCAGGTCTGAAATTGTACCATTAATGAATCACTGCATTGGGATTTTAAATAAAGAGCAACACTTTGTGTGCATAAGATACAAATTTTAATGTTTATTTGTAGGGATTCCAACAACACGCTCTGGATTGCCCTGTCAGATCCAGCGGCTCCATCACTTGGCGGGCTCCGTTTGCTGTTGGGGGTGCCGTCTGCACATCCGTGGAAAGATAAGGCAGGACTGGGGGCCACTTCCTCACCAACATGCATCCATTGCTCCTGAACACAGAGGGCAGATATTTTCCTGGCCGCTGAGGGCTTGCACAGCCTAGAACCCAGGTGAGTGGGATTCAGTTCCCCCAAGGAAACAGCTGACAACATCTGAAACATGCAGGAGCTCCTTTGGACTCTGCGTACTCAAATCACTTGTCAAAGACGTTTTCGGGACCCCGGAGAGCACAGGGTGGTCCTCAGATGTGTCACAGTCACCAGGGTGGGGGAAACATGTGGGGTCTCCATTCCGTCAGAACAGGAGAGGCACGGAACCCAGCATTTGGGGTCAGAAAGAACCGGGGTGGATTCACTCAGCCTCTCAGTGCTGTATGGTCTTGAATAAGTAACTTCATCTCTCCACAGATTCAGTTGTCTGGTCTGTAAAAAGGGGACAAAAATACATGTCAGAGTCCCTCTGCTAAATCCAGTCTGTGGGACGCAAGCCTCACTGGCATTCAGTAAATGGGGCCACATTCCTCTTACCGGCAGAGGTGGTCAGTCATCATTCCTACTTCAGTAAGTTTTCTCAATCATTCTAATTAAAAACTCCCCAAACGGGTCGTCTTAGGGAATGGATGGTTTTCAGTGGGCAGGTGGGCTGAGCTGCAGGGTCCAGAAGGCCTCACTCGCCCAGCATGGCAGCGCCCTGGAGACCGGCACGGCTGGGCCTCTCTTCTGTGTGGCCTCAGTGTCTCTCCACGTGGTCAGGATGCATGGAGCTGGTGACATGGACTCCAAGAACCCTTGGTCCCAGGGCAGGAGATCGAAGCCGCCCTTTCCTGAAGGCCTTAACTGGACACCAGGGCCAGGTCACCTTCTCCATGTTCCGGGGTCGAAGCATCACAGAGTCACTGAGTGTAACTGGATCCAAGCGGAGGGACCACGGGCCACCCCTCAAAGGGAAGCGTGTCGAGGGGCTGGGGGCCTTCTTTAATCTGTCCCCATCCTTTGCCTTCTTCAGGCCTTTGGCTAAATGTCACTTCTTCACCGAGGCCTGCCACCCTGTTTTGAATTGTTGTCTCCCTCCATGCCCCGCATTCCTTAACTGCTCCGTGATTTACTCTCTCCAGAAAGTGGTGACCAGCTAATATGGTACATCCCACCTATCCCACCTATTTGTGTGTTTATTTGCCCATCTCACCTTGCAGAATATAGGCTGCATAAGGGCATGTATTCTTGTCCATGGTGTCCCGTGCTGCAGCCCCTTACCTACAGCGGTGCTGGGCACATAGCCAGCCCATGAATAGTTGTGGTTAATCGCTGTCTGGAAGCAGGTGATCCTCCTTCTGACTTATCAGAAGGTCAATAAGAACCTTAAGCTACAGCACAAAGCCTGTCATTCACCTCACTTCATCTTGTCACATAGGCATTTTATCGTCTCACACATCAACAAGTGGGGTGAGCACAGCACAGTGTAGTAAGGTATTTTGAGGAGCAGAGAGAGACCACATTCACATAACTTTTATTACAGTATATTGTTATCATTGTTCTGTTTCATTATTACTTATTATTGTTAATCCATTACTGTGCCTAATTTATAAATTAAACTTTGTCATAGGTATGTGTGTCTAAGGAAAACATAAAGGTTGATACTATCCAGTTTCAGGCATCCACAGAAGGTCTTGGAATGGATCCCCCTTGACTAAGGAGGGGCCACTGTATTTGAACCTCAAAGGATACACACACACACACACACACACACACACACACACACACATATATATATATATATATTTCCCCTCACTCCTTTATAAATACACATATATGTGTATTCATATATATCTAAAACACATGGTGCTCTATCTTACTATTTTCAAAAGAAGTAATATCAGTTGCATAAGACTAAACTTTTGCACATGAGATTTTGGCCAAAAGCCGTTTTGGAAAAACAAATTCTGAATCTTCTTGGGCTAATTACCGCCAAGTGTCTTTGACAGTTGCTCTTCTCGGGGGTTTACGCACAATAGCCCTGGCTCACCCCCGTCCCTTCAGTTCGGAGGCACATGGCACCACAATGGGCAAGCTGGTCATGCAGAGCAGGAGCCCAGTATCCGATTTCTGCAGCTGTTTTTGCACCATGCCCAGAGTCATGCCAGAAAGCTCCTCTTAGCTGTTAGTTATTATTATTAATCTCTCTCAAACTAAAGTTGGACTTCGGGGTGAAAACGTGTTTTATCCATAAATCTGTCCCCATCCTTTGCCTTCTTCAGGCCTTTGGCTAAATGTCACTTCTTCACCAAGGCCTGCCACCCTGTTTTGAATTGTTGTCTCCCTCCATGCCCCGCACTCCTTAACCCCTCCGTGATTTACTCTCTCCAGAAAGTGGTGACCAGCTAATATGGTACATCCCACCTATTTGTGTGTTTATTTGCCCATCTCACCTTGCAGAATATAGGCTGCATAAGGGCATGTATTCTTGTCCATGTTCTCCCATGCTGCAGCCCCTTATCTACAGCGGTGCTGGGCACATAGCCAGCCCATGAATAGTTGTGGTTAATCGCTGTCTGGAAGCAGGTGATCCTCCTTCTGACTTATCAGAAGGTCAATAAGAACCTTAAGCTACAGCACAAAGCCTGTCATTCACCTCGCTTCATCTTGTCACATAGGCATTTTATCGTCTCACACATCAACAAGTGGGGTGAGCACAGCACAGTGTAGTAAGGTATTTTGAGGAGCAGAGAGAGACCACATTCACATAACTTTTATTACAGTATATTGTTATCATTGTTCTGTTTCATTATTACTTATTATTGTTAATCCATTACTGTGCCTAATTTATAAATTAAACTTTGTCATAGGTATGTGTGTCTAAGGAAAACATAAAGGTTGATACTATCCAGTTTCAGGCATCCACAGAAGGTCTTGGAATGGATCCCCCTTGACTAAGGAGGGGCCACTGTATTTGAACCTAAAAGGATACACACACACACACACACACACACACACACACACACACATATATATATATATATATTTCCCCTCACTCCTTTATAAATACACATATATGTGTATTCATATATATCTAAAACACATGGTGCTCTATCTTACTATTTTCAAAAGAAGTAATATCAGTTGCATAAGACTAAACTTTTGCACATGAGATTTTGGCCAAAAGCCGTTTTGGAAAAACAAATTCTGAATCTTCTTGGGCTAATTACCGCCAAGTGTCTTTGACAGTTGCTCTCCTCGGGGGTTTACGCACAGTAGCCCTGGCTCACCCCGGTCCCTTCAGTTCGGAGGCACATGGCACCACAATGGGCAAGCTGGTCATGCAGAGCAGGAGCCCAGTATCCGATTTCTGCAGCTGTTTTTGCACCATGCCCAGAGTCATGCCAGAAAGCTCCTCTTAGCTGTTAGTTATTATTATTAATCTCTCTCAAACTAAAGTTGGACTTCGGGGTGAAAACGTGTTTTATCCATCAATGTCTGAACAGCCCAGTTGATCTGGGACAGATAAAAATCTATTTTTATCTTGATTCTGGGGGGAAGAAATTGTCTTTTAGAAGTATGCCCAGGTAATACACGAATGCGTGTACTGAAATAGCTTCTTACTGTAAAGACGGAGAGATGTATCAGTGCACCGAGGGGAGTGCAGACTCATCTCCCTTCCTCTGCCGCGTTCTGTCCTGGGCTTACCCACTGCCAAGGTATAGTTTACGTCTTTCCAAAGCCACTCTGGCGCATACACACCCTTTTAAAAGGATACTTCTTGCTTTGAGATGATTATAGATTCACATGCTGCTGTAAGATCCTGTACGGTTCCCCCACGGCAGCGTAACTATATGTTGCAATAAATACAGTGAAACATCACACCAGGAAATTGATGTTGATCTTATTCAGATTTTATCAGTTGACCTACATTCATTTGTGTGTGTATTTAGTTCTATGTAGTTTTGCAGTGTACGTAAATTTGATAACCACCAAAATAAAGGTACACAGCAGTCCACACACACTATCTGAGCTCTTTATTGAAGTACAATGTAAATTTAGAAAAGTGCCCAGGAGTGGACAGCTAGATAAATTTTCACAGATGGAAACTCACCCATGTAGGCAGCACAGAGAGACCAAGAAATGAAACATTACCAGCACCCCAGACAGTATTTTCTTTCTCCCACCAGGCAGTGTTCACTAAGGGTACCCGGAGACCTGACTTCTAACAGCCTTTTTCTAAAAAACAGAAATGGAACCCGATGACATACTTACTCCCTTTTGTGTATAGCTCAGTTCATTTAATATTATGTTCATGAGATTTTAACAATCATCTTGCATGGAGGTTATTTGCTTAAAAAGTGAGTAGTAAATTCACGCTGTGAATATACTATAATTTATTGATCTATTATTCTGTTGTTGCTGAGCATGTGTTTATTCTGTTAACATTTCTAACAAGTTTCCGGGTAATGCTCTTGCTGCTGATCTGAAGGCAACACTTTGAGAACTGCTGGATGTTAGCCTTTGGGGGCTGGTAGCACAGGAGTTCTTCATAGAAAGCTTTACTTTATATTATTTACGAGACAAAATTCACTTGCGTTGCCATGAACAGGAATCATTTTCATTGTTATGGAGGAAATATTCACATGGTTATCAGATTCCTACAACCAAGAGTCTATCCCTGCAGAGCAGCAACACGGCCAGGAGGTCAGAGGCACACAGTCCCACAGGCCTGTTAGTCCCAGAGCGGCTACCAGACAGCACCAGGCGCTCTCTGGAAGGCCGCCAGGGCCTGTTTTATGCCAGGTTCCAAGTCTTTGGCAACTTTTCTCATGTGACCATAACTATTCTCTAAACATTAATCTGATCACAGATAAGGCTGGTCTTATAATTTGCCTGACTGTTTACATAGGTGTTAATTGAGCATGTAGGCCTCCTTGAGTTCGTTTGAAAATCTAGAACATGCATTTCCAGTGGGGGTGATACTGCCCCAAAGTGGGTAAAATTGGAACTCTGAAGCAAAGCTTACTTTTTTACAAATAAAGCACAAAGATGTACGCAACACATAAACAGATGCCTCCTATATCGTGGCATCATTGGCTGGGGGCGGGAGTGATTAGGAAAGAATATCTGAGGAGGCTCCTTAGGGAACACTCCAAAAAGCAAGAGGTTGAGAAATACTGGTCTAGACCCGTGCCGGGCTGAACAACTAAGGCCACACAACTCTCTCCCTCCCAGGAGTTTTCATGAGGAGTCCTGATTGCAGCTTCACACGCCTCTG